CTCCTGAGTCCAGTTTCTTCTCCTGTGTAATTTTAGGCCGTAATCAAGATTGACTCCTTTCTCTCAGTTTCTTTAGGCTTCCAAGCTCTCTGTTACAGCAGTTGGAAATGAGAAAGTCAGCACCGTGTGGCCACATCACTGGCTGGCATCAAGTGTCCTATGGTGTAGTGCAGCTTGGTCTTTGTACCAACTGAGCAAGGGTGGCCAACCTGCAGCTGCAAGTGGTATGGGCAGCTTCTTTGTGGCTTGTGGCAGACGTGGGGGCAGCAGGGGGGTAGGCAGCACAGTGGTGCAGGAAACAGAAAGGAGAGCATCAAATCAGGCAAGGAGGAAGCACAGGGCAAGGGGTGGAAAGCTGAGGAGCAGATCAGGAAAGGGATTGGAGTGGCACTCGGAGAAGGGTGCAGAGCTACTTCATGGCATGTCTGCCAAAAAGGTTGGCTCCCAGTGCTCTAGAGGACGTGGGAGAAGAACCTGTTATGAGTATCACATCTCAAATATGCCACAACATGACAGGAGACAGCTTTGTGCACTTCTTTAGCTATCAAGTTACAGACTTAACTTGAAAGTTTAATAAAAATGATCACATTTCTTCAGATGCAGTACAGTCTCCAAACTACACTACCAAGCACAGAAGCTGCAGATGCTTTTCAGGAGTTCCTATGTTTTCTTCTGCATAACTTTCCAAAAGCAGCATCTTGAAGGAGGGGTAGTGTGTGAATCATACAGGATGGCAGAAGAAGCCAACACTATTTATATATTGGCAGGTGAATTAATTTTAGAGAGCCTAGTGTGAGGAAGATGGAAAGTATCAATAAGCATGGCAGCTCTCGCTAGTTCTTCATACTCCAGTATATACTAAAAATAACTTGTCTGCTGTGTTTTTGTTAATGCAGTTAAAAGCTTGCTTTAGATTGTGCCTCTTTTTGGTTTACCAGAGTGTAACTACACGTTATAAAGGTCATAGCTGTTACTGTACCCTTTTATATTTCTAGGGTGGCCATTGGGGTAAGGCACTGTAGTGTGTTTTGTCCAAGCCAGTTTGGAATCCTTTGGTCAGTCATGTTTTCTCTTAAAATACCTTCTGCATGTTACAAATACCATGTAAGCTACAACTACAGATAGTGGATATTTTTTACTTGCCTCAGCTTGGCAGACATGTTACTTTAAAATGTAGATGCTAAATAAAACACTGTATGTTTGTTGAAACTAACACTAGAATGAAACCATAGGAGGCTAATATTTTACAAATTTAGACCTTAAAAGCTGATGATTCCATTAATGATGTTCTCGTAGTTCACAATTACCTGGAAAGTAATTTGCAGAAACAGTTCAGTCTCTCAACTGGAGAAGAGGGCTTCTTCGAAGCTGACTTTTGGACCAGCATTTACTGTTAGAAAGCATTAAATCAGGCATAGGCAACCGCTGGCACAGGTGCCAGAGTGTGGCACGCAAAGGCATTTTGCTTGGTACATGCACCATGGGGCAGACGGCAGGGAAGAAGCCAGGGCTGTGCTGCCACAACGAGGGTTGGGCCCCTTGCAGCTCCCCTGCCATCTGCTCCTGACATGGCAACGTCTTACAAGCTGAGCTTGCAGGTGTTTTTGGCATTCGTTCCAGAAACATTGCTGACCCCTGCGTTAAATGTTTGCTGTCGCTTAGACCTCACAATTCAGTTGGTTGAAAAATCGTAAGATCATTGATCCAAACATGATTGGTTTTTTGAGGCAGTATTGTCTAGGAGTTGTGCAGTGAAGTGGGCTCGGATTATTTCCCAGCTCTGACACTGGACCTGTTGAATATTTGTTCTAAGTTACTAAAAGTTGCTAAAAACTCGCTTCCTTTTCTTTAGTGTATTCTGTATATGAAGGGATAAAGTACAACACAGTGGAAAGTTGGTCCTCAGGTTGGCCTGTATTAGGCCTGACCAAAGTTGGATGTGTTTTTTTTTAAAGCATTTAACTCCTTGTGCATGGGGAGGGGAAAGTTGCATTGCCACAGAATCAGTGCACTGCATGAGTGCAGAACAGAATGCCTGCCCCAGGCTAAGTTGAGACCCCACTCTGATGCAGGTATGGGATTGACAAGAGAGGAAAAGGCAGCCTTCTAGAAATGGTCTTGACGCTCTTTCTGGGCTCTTGATAGAATCCCAGTAGAGCAGAGTTCAAAAGAGGAGCATGGATTTGAAGGAGGATAATGAGGTAGCTTCATTAAAGTTTGTAGGAACCTTTCCCAAACGTGAGTAGCATGGCTGGAAAAAAATATATTTTGTTTTTTTCAGTCAAGCAGATGACATCATGGGTAGAACAGAGATGGGGCCCTGAGTGAAATGGTATGGAAAATTGATAGGTTGTGAAGGGCTTTGAAAGTTCATAGATTTGTAGATTGTAAGGCTGGAATGGACCTGGGGTCCAGCCCCCTTCACCAAGCAGGAAAGACAACTGGGGTCAAGTGACCCCAGCAAGGTGACCGTCCAGTCTCCTGTTGAAGATTTCCAGGGTAGGTGGTTGTACCACCTCTGGAGGGAGCTTATTCCACAGTCTGGACACCCTAGTTGTGAAGTAGTTTTTCCTAATGTTGAGCCTGAAATGGTCTTCCAGGAGTTTGTGACCACTGCTCCTTGTTTTCTCCAAGGGTGCCCCAGTGAACAGTTGTTCACTGAGCCCCTGGTATATGCCTCTGATGGAGCATTAAGCTGCTTCTCTTTTTCAGGCTGAAGAGTCCCAGGTCCCTCAGCTTTTCCTTGTATGGCTTGCTGCTCAAGTCTCTGATCATATGGGTGCCCCTTCTCTGTACCTTAAAGCTTTACCACGTCCTTGTTAAAGTGTGGTGCACAGAACTGGATGGCAGTGCTCCAGCTGTGATCTCACCAATGCCAAGTAGAGTGGGAGAATCACTTCTTTGGTTTTGCTGGAGATGCATCAATTGATGCATGCCAGGGTATTGTTAGCTCTGCTGGTTGCTTTGCTGACTTACGTTCACACTGGTCTATTATTACTCTCAGGTTGGCACTGCTAAGTCTGTAGGTGTGCAGGGGATTGTTTGTCCCCAGGTGGAGCACTTTACATTTCTCAGCATTGCACTTCATCTGGTTCTGGTCTGCCCAAGTTAAGACAAACAACCAGTTTACATAGAGAAGAGTGAGCTAGTGGATGGAGAAAGTTTTCAGAGGCATAGTTCTCTTGGCTTGTTGCTTTGAAGATCTTTTCAGGGACTGCCTGGATGGCTGTTTACAAGGCAGAGCTGCTTTTATCTTGGCCAGAGATAAGGATATCAGATGATTCTCAGTTACTGTATTTTAGCTATGGATGGATATAAGTTATGCAGAGAGAATCTTCAGGACTTTGACATAACCTAAACCTAGTCAGAGTAGAAAATAATACTGCAGTTACAGGCCTATGTGAAAGCCAAGATAATGATAATATCCACAACAAATAAGAAATCTCCTCCTCTTTCAAGAATTTAGACCTTGTCCTCCTAGGTATATTGAACTTTGGCTAAACAATCACATGGAGATGTCACATCAGCAAAGATTGTAATGCAACTAGAAAAAATGGGCCTATAATCAACGGTAAAACAGAATCCTTGGCATAGAGAGGTGGTGGCCATCCCTGGATGAGATTACTTGGAGAGGAAGGAGAGAAGGGGACCAAAGACAGAGCCTGACATCCTGACAGAAAGCTGGAATGAAGGTGGTAGGGGATCTGATAAATGAGCAATTAGAGAAGGCTGGCAGCCAAGACTTCAAGAAGAGCAGGATCAATTGTTCTGAGAGCAGCTGACAGACCAGGGAGGCTGAGGGATGCATTACTTGTCCTGAAATTTGCATAAGAGGTTATTAGACACATACTTTTGCAATATTAGACCAAGGCTGTTTATTTAAAGCGACAGAACTGGATTTAGCATGATCGTTGATGATGCAGCTGTGTTTCACCAAGATGCTTTTCACAGAGAGAGAGGGGCCACTTCTGTAAGTGGGATCAGTTCAGGCATTAAGTCCACTCCTTCACTGGCCTACTACTAAGGAGGAAATAATGAATATTGTGTACCCTAAAGACTTGGTTCACACTGGTCAGATCTTTTCAGGCAGGCAGATTGGGTAAGTGTTTTGCGATGGGAGAGTGCCTGCCAGTTCTTTCAGCAGTTTGCTAGTTCTTCTGTTTACTTAAGTCTGGGTGACTTGTGTGCTGTTTTTTTTTTTTTTTAAAGAATAACTTTTTGCATTTCAGGACATCCACTTGAATTTTTACGAAATCAGCCTCAATTCCAGCAAATGAGACAAATTATTCAGCAGAATCCTTCTCTGCTGCCAGCATTGCTACAACAGATAGGACGGGAAAACCCTCAGCTACTACAGGTGACTTTTAAAGGAACGTGGGTTAAGGTTGTTAGTACTGCATCCTTTTCAAACAAAGGAAAGAGTTACCACCCTATAAGTTAAAATGTCAGCAGTACAGACTTAGTGCTTCTTAGATGAGACATGCCACAAGCAAAGATTCTTTAATAGCATTATTGCAACTGCTGTTGTCTTTTCAACAGTCCTAATTGCTGTCTGTTCAATTTGTTCCTTTATGTAGAAGGAATAGGGGAAGTTGATGCAACTTAACTTTGAAATTGCTTCTTTTCCTGTTAGAACCTGCCAAGGATTGTTCTCAAAACTAAGCAGGTTTCTTTAGATGTTCTCATTGCAAATAGAACTGGTTAGGGTTGCATATTGGCAGAACTAAACCTGTTTTATTTCAGTGGTTTTTTGCCTTTTTGTTTCCCCATGCACTACAGCAAATCAGCCAACATCAGGAGCATTTTATTCAGATGTTAAATGAGCCAGTCCAAGAGTCTGGTCAAGGAGGAGGTGGTGGCGGTGGGGGCACTGGAGGAGTAGCAGAAGCTGGAAGTGGTCATATGAACTACATTCAAGTAACACCTCAGGAAAAAGAAGCTATAGAGCGGGTAAGCAGTTTCCATTTTGAAATGCTAATACTACTTGGCAGTTGCCTGTGTTGTGTTGACTTCAAGGTCAGTGCTAGTTTAAGTTGGTGCCACCCTTAAAGTGGTATGTGAAGCTGATGTTACTACTGCTAACAGGTAAATTTGCAGTGTGACATCTGAAAGCTGATGTAGTCTTGATCTTAAGCAAATGCCCTCTGTGCCCTTACTTTAAGGAACTTGTTCCCTGCCTCTTCTGAAATCTGCCATTTTAGAAAAGGCTTTTCAAGTGGTCAAAATTGATTGTAAATACTTTTAATTGAATATGATGCCCAGGCGCCCACTAAATAAAATGGAGGGGAAGTCAAAATGGACCAGTGCCTTGAATTCCACTGTTAAGTGCAGTAATGACTTCTGTAATTCATAGTGAGTGAACCGGTTTGTTCCTTAAAACTGATACCCAGAGCCATTAGACTAGCTCTGAGCTTTTGTAGTTAAGTGGATTATTTGAAGTCACTGCTTAACCCAGTTTGAAGTTTCAGTCAGTTGTAGGTGACTAAAATGCAAATAAACATGCCTATAAACTGTTGCAGCTATGCAGACCTAAAGCAGTAAGTATTATATTCTTTTTTGTGGTGGTGTACAATAACTTATTTACACGTGCAGTAATTAAAGCTTTGGAACAAACATTTCAGTACCATATTTACCCAAATCTAAGATGACTTTGAATTTAAGACAACTTCCCAATAATTATAAACAATACCATGACAATTATAATTTTTGCTTTAATTATCCCTGTATTTCAATCTAGTTATTGGGAGTTTATCTTAAATTTGTGCTTGCCCCTCCCATCCTGCTGCTGCGTGGGGGTGGGGTGGGGGGGTAGGAAGCCTGACCCATGCCATGTGTCATTCCCCTCACCTGCC